GAAGGGAAGGGAAGGGAAAACGAAGGGAAGGGAAGGGAAAATGAAGGGAAGGGAAGGGAAAACAAAGGGAAGGGGAAGGGAAGGGAGAGAAAGAGAGACAGAGAGAGAGAAAGAAAGAAAAGAGAGAAAGAGAGAGAGAGAGAGAAAGAAAGAAAAGAGAGAAAGAAAGAAAGAAAAGAGAGAGAGAGAGAAAGAAAGAGAGAGAGAAAGAAAGAAAGAAAGAAAGAAAGAAAGAAAGAAAGAAAGAAAGAAAGATGTGTGTGTATATATATATTTGCTGATCACCAGGATGTATGGAATGAGGTGAGGGGAAGGAGGGAGGGGAAGATAGAGCACAGGGTAGGGGACACAGGATAGCTTGAGTGTGGGGCTAGGGGAAGGGGGAGGGGATTGGAAGCATAAAGCTGATGGGAGAACAGTTAGGTAGGTTTGCATTGGCTAAGTGGGACAGAGGTAAATGATGATGTATGCACAACCTTGGAACAACAGGGCTCTGGGATACAGGGATAAAAGAGGGGAATAATATAAGTGCTTGGCTGTCTTTTGAATCTTGGTTTTCCTTGCCTACCAATGTAAAAAAGACACTTGATGGGGGGAGATAGGAATAGCCAGAATCATCACTACAGAAAGCTTTTAAGTGGGTCTTCAGCCTAAAACTGATTGGAATACCTTAAAGGGGGCTAGAAGTTGCCCAGTGAAAGAGGCTTCCTGTGGAGCCTTTACATTGCACAAGACCATAGGTGGAATCCAGAACCCCATCCAGAACCGACTGAGGTAGGAAATTTCCACTGGAAAGGATGAGTAGACCAGCCTGGAGCACCTAGAAGAACAGAGGATACTCCGTGAAAGAAACACCAGCAGGAAAAATCCAAAACAGTAACATCTGATTGATTACTACAAGAACAAGCAAGCTGTTCGCCCAGGAGCCATCAAGGCAAGTGGTCGGGACCCCTCAGAACAAACCCCCTTCCAAGACTGAGACTCAAGGGGAATACATAAGCAGGCATGGGTCTGGCTGGTGACCACGTTGGTCACCAATAAGGGGAAGAGGGGGAAAAAACAGCATTGAAGTTGTGAGCTAAACCCAACCACATTCAAGGAACCCCTGTGAACCCAGGTGGAGACCTGAATGGCAAGCAATATGGCAAGACCCGGGTACTTCTGGGCCCAGAGGCAGTGATATGGCCACAGAGGACTAGAGTGGAGAGTGAAGCGTCCAGCTGATATGAAGTGAGGGGAGATGTGCGAGAACACCCATACTTGCAGATAGCACCTACATGATCTGGCTTCGATGGCTGGATGATTAGAACTCAACTAGAAGAAAGAACAGGGGTTGGGGGTTGGGGGGAAAAGAGTAACCTGCTATAATTTGATGAACTTTACCTATACTTATGGATGTAGCAACTCAGAAAAGGGAACAAATCTTTATAGTGAGGATCACTCCCACCTCCTCGGTACGCAGGGTTGACACGGATGGGCAACTTAGACATTGGCTACCCAAAATGGGGGCGCCTATAAAGGCAAGAAGTGACTGACTTACAAACTTTCAAGAGGGTGCCTAGTTCCAGACAGGGCGGGGGAAGGTAGAATCACCGCTCAATTAATGAATTCTAATCGGTTGGGACTGGGCTGGTGAAAGGAAATGGGGATAGGACTCTTGTGGTACAATAGTGAATAATTGCCATCAGGACTGACTGTGAGGCTAGGAAATATAGAGGTAGATGTTTTTTGACAAAAGGA